GCGACGGACCGAATTATGCGCCCGCGATCGGTACGGCTATGGTGGACCACCTGGGAGGAGGAGGAGGAGGAGGAGGAGGAGGAGGAGGAGAGAGGAGGAGGAGGAGGAGGAGGAGGAGGAGGAGAGGAGGAGGAGGAGGAGGAGGCAGCCCGCCGGCTGGCGGTCCTCGCTGGGAGAACGTAGGCCTTATTCGTGCTGCCCGAGGGGGTAGGAGAAGAGGGGAGGGCCACAGCCAGGCGGCTCGCCTGCCCTGTCGCCACCCTCCACCTCCCCCTCTCCTCCTCCTCCTCCTCCTCCTCCCCCCTCTCCTCCTCCTCCTCTCCTCCTCCTCCTCCTCCTCCTCCTCCTCCTCCTCCTCCTCCTCCTCCTCCTCCTCCTCCTCCTCCTCCTCCTCCTCCTACCGCGGGCCGACGCCGTCGACAACCTTGTTAGTTGTTCCCTAAAACCACTTGCAAAGTGTAGGAGGAGGAGGAGGAGGAGGAGGAGGAGGAGGAGGAGGAGGAGGAGGAGGAGGAATGTGGCTACGTAGAGTGGGTGGGTTCTCTGGCACATCACATAGCACAGACGTGCCCAGCCGCTCGAATGTCTGCTTTCTAGAAGCGTTGGCCCTGTTGCTAGGCTTGGTAATGGTGTAGCGAGATGGCCTGACAGCTGCGATCGCCGCAGGGCGCGTTGACATCGCAATGCCCGCTCTCACCACGCATGCTGATGTAGCAACCTACGCATGTACCACATCGCCGGTGTACATCACAATGATCGAAGCGTGGCAGTGGTCCTGTGCACTACAGCGCCTGTGTACACAACTGCGAACGCGCTCGCCACAACGCCCTTGCACACCCCAGCTGCGGCCACGCAAGCATGTTCCGCGTGCAACAAAGCGCCTGTGTACAACATGATCCGCGCGCACCACAGCAGCCGCGCGCAGCGCGGCGACTGGCGCCGCCGTGCACCACAGCGTGCATGTACACCACGAACCCGCGTACACTTCGAGGGTCCCGACGAGGCCCATAAACCGAAACTCGTGTCCGTGTGGGGTGGACGGGGGGGCGCGAACGTATCAAATTGAATATGCCAGGGTTTTTGTGGTTCTGGCTTTCTGGCCGCCTGGAAACCGTCCTGGCAAGTTTGTCGATCTGCGTGCGGCCGCGGCGACGAAGATCTCTCCAGACGGGGAGGACCCTTGGCCTCTCGAGTTCACTTGTGCCGCGGCTTCGTCCGAGATGGCCCTGGCCCAACAGGCCCCCACAGGGGTTCCGACGCGGTTCAAGACGGCCCCCAGACGGCCGAAGAACACCCAAGACTGCCCAAAGGGCCCCCAAGAGGGGGAACACCAACCGACGGTTCGAGCCTTCCGCCCCAAAACGCACCCAGGAGGCCCTATAGGCGCCCAGAGAGCTGTTTTGGAAATCCAAAATCCAAACAAGAGCGCACCGAAGAGGTCAGCAAGAGGCTCTAATCCCTCCCTTCCCCTCATTGTCCCCCGCGTCTGCCCGTCGTCCTCGTCGTCCTCGTGCTCCTCGTCCTTGTCCTCGTCCTCTTCGTCCTCCTCCTCCTCCTCCACCTCCTCATCCATTCTCCTCCTCCTCCTCCTTTTCCTTCTCCTCCTCCTCCTACTACTCCTCCTCCTCCTCCTCCTCCTCCTCCTCCTCCCCCTCCTCCTCCCCATCCCCCCCTCCTAGCGCGCAGGGTCCTCGGCACCGGCAGTAGATCCTTTCCAGTAAACTGGTCACTGCGGGGTCAAAGGGTGGTCATTGCGCCATGGCCGGCGCGGTGGTAGTACAGGAATTGTTCCAAAGAGTTGCGGCGCACCACAATCACCGGAGAAACATTCGGCACGTAGCAACCCGCGAAAAAAAACACGAACTCTGCGCACCACTGTGCCTGTGTGCCAGCGCACGAACACACCCCTGTCCCTGTGTACGCCGCCAGCATGTACATCACATTTCTCGCGTACACCACAATGCCTGCGCACACCTCCAGGTGCCCGACGGTGTCAAACTCCAACAAACCATGGCCAGCCCGAACGCATCAACTCAAATCTGAAAGTTGTTTGTGCTTATATTTGTCTGGCCACGGGCACGGCCCATACCCCCGTTGCTTGCGCGCACAACAGTATCAGTGTATACCGCATTGCTAAGCACCACCACGCCTGTGAGCACGACAACTGCCGCCGCAGCCAGCATGTGCGCTATACGCACCGAAGTGTTTGTCTCTTCCAGTGTGACTGCGCCGCCGCGCCTGTGTGGGTGCCACAACAGCCTGTCCGCGCCACGCGCCTCTACATACCACGAGCACACACCTGCTCACACTGAAACGCGTTACGCGCGCACTACGAACAGCATACCTGTGCGCTAAGCAATCGGCGCTGCTGCAACGGGGGTGGGTGGGGCGGCGGGCATTATGCTATCTACTGCGTGGGTGGATGAGTTGGGAGCCGCATAACGCGCGTTATGTGTTCGAGTGCAAAAACTTAAGCTCTTACGAAGTCTCCCTGAAGAGCTCAGAGCAACCCGGACGTTCACGAGACACCCACCAAGGTATCTCATGTGTTTGTTGTATTGGATAAAAAGCAGTCATCGACTAGCTCCGCACTGGCACGGAGTGTGAATCGAACCGGGTCGGCCGCACCAGGACGCCCACCACCGCGCCAAGTACTGCATCGGGCAGCATGAGATCGTCCGAGCATCGGACTTGAATCGAATCGAGAAGGCCAGAACCGACACAACATCGGATCGGTCGGATCGAAATGGGCCCCTTTAGGTGGCAGCTCTGGTGGTAAGCTAACCTGGCTCCGCTGAAGTCCCGCCCACGGCGTCTGGCAGTCAGGGTTCGCCTGGCATGTGCAGAGCACTGCTTCTGGCTGGCTGGCGGCGGTGGGATCATCACCATCAGCAGCATCATCAACGGATGCATCATCGTCATCGTCACTGTCGTCATTCAGAGCATCATGAGTAATCACGATACAACATCGTCAACGACACCACTACTTTCATCCTGATCACCAGCAGCACCGTCAGACTAATCATCCTCGTCATCGCCATCATCAGCAGCAGCATCATAGTCATCCCCATCCGCATCAGCATTGACTTCGTAATCATCACCATCAGCAGCAGAAGCAGAAGCAGCAGCATCAGCATCATCAGCATCATCATCATCATCACCATCATCATCATCATCAGCATCATCATCATCATCATCATCATCATCATCATCATCATCATCATCATCATCATTATCAGCATCAGCATCAGCATCATCACCATCACCATCCACCATCATACCATCACTATCATCAGCATCATCGCAATCATCATCATCATCATCATCATCATCATCATCAGCAGCAGCATCACCATCACCATCATCATCATCATCATCAGCATCATCATCATCATCATCATCAGCATCATCATCATCAGCATCATCATCGTCGTCGTAGCCATCGACATCGTCATCGTCGCAATGGTCAGCTGCGCCTCCCACCAGCCACCAGCCACCAGCCACCATCATCATCATCATCATCATCATCATCATCATCATCAACACCAGCAGCAGCATCGGCATCGTTTGCATCATCCACTCCTCATCAGCATGAGCATCACCAACATCAACGTCAGCACCACCATCATCATAGAATCAGACTCATAGTCGTAATCGTAGTTAGCATCATCATCGTCATAATCGTCATAAACATCATAATCATCATCATCATCATCATCATCACCACCACCACCATCATCATCATCATCATCATCATCATCATCATCATCATCATCATCATCGTCAGCATCGTCATTATCATCATTGACATGATTGTCATTGTCGTGATGTTGATCAGCATCAACACCGTCGCCATCACCCTCGCCCTCACCATCATCATCAGCAGCACCACCACCAACACCACCATCATCAGCAATGCCACCATTATCATCGCTTGGATTACCATTAACAATGTCATCATCATCATCATCATCATCATCATCATCATCCTGATCATCATCATCATCATCATCATCATCATCATCATCATCATCATCATCATCATCATCATCATCATCATCATCATCATCATAGTCATCATCGTCATCATCATAATCATCATCCCCGCTCATCCCCGTCTTCTCACTCCCTCCCTCCCTCCCTCCCTCCCTCCCTCCATCTGACTCTCCTTCTCCTCCTTCTTCCCTCGGCTACACGCAGGAGTGACCATTTGCAAGAGTGACCCTTGGTGCTGGCCCCAAGAGGGTCGGATGATTTCTCTTTCGGAATGAGCTCGACCCTGCGTCGGCACCCGTAGCACGTGGCTGCGCTCGCACCTGAACGCGCCAGGTTTGCCCCCCCCCCCCTCCCTGCAATCGGCCGCAACGCATACTTGTTTCTTAGTCCGCGGCCGCAGGCGAGCGGGCCAGCGGCGAGTCCAGAACCGCAACGCATACGCGGAGCAACCTAAAGTGCGCATCCGTTTCCCGAGGGGGGGGGGGGCGGTCGACCGGGCGGCGCGTTTTCCGCCCCAGGACCAGACCCGAATGCCAGCCCGAATCCCGAATCGCTTCGTTTGAAATAGCTTGGAATGTCTGAGAAAATCTTTGAAAATATGATTGCTGATCTTTCCAAACCAATGAGCCTTTACGGTTGCAAATTAGATTCCAACATGTTCTAGGTCCGCGAATGGGGCCGGCTTTGACCAAGACGCCTGACCTGGTCAGACGTTATCGCGACGCGGCCTGACAGTGCCAGACCTCTTCGTGGTGGCCCCTAGCAGCGTCTGCTTTCGCAGCTAGCCGAAGGTCAATTTTAGGTTTACATCGGGCATGTCCTCCTACAGGCGGATTTGGGACGGAACATTCAACATCGTTTATATGTAATTACAATGTAAGTATATTCATGTGAATATTAACGTCCTCAGACTACTGTTCAAACTATGTTTGAATATTCGTGCTGTAGAGGGATAGGCCCGATTTAATCGTACGCGGAGCCGACCTCCCTGCACCCCTCCCTGCCAGCTTGACTTCGCCGAAGCCGCCGCGGCCAAGGACGCGGACCACCTCGCCAGGGAGCGGCCGCGGCTGGGCGGCAGGGGGCTGGGTAGTCGAAGCCAATCTGGCGCCAATCTGGCAGGCCCAATCTGGCAAACGGGGGCAATCCGGCGAGGGAGCCAACGCGAAATCCAGTCTGGCGAACAGCCCAGATCATCCAGTTTGGCCAGGCCAGATTGGCCCGTGGGGCCCAATCCAATCTGACAGTCTGGCCTTCGACTACCCAGGGGGGGGGGGCGAGGGGGGGCGGGCGGCCACGCCGGCCGAGTGCGCGGGGGGGTGGGGGCGTGGAAGGGCACGGGCCGGAGGCGGACCTCGGCGGCGGCGGACGGCACACCTGATGTTAGTCGAACGTAAAGAGGAGGAGGAGGAGGAGGAGGAGGAGGAGGAGGAGGAGGAGGCAACGAGGAAGAGAAGGAGGAGGAGGAGGAGGAGGCAACGAGGAAGAGAAGGAGGAGGAGGAGGAGAGGAGGAGGGAGGAGGAGGAGGAGGAGGAGGAGGAGGAGGAGGGGGGGGGAGGAGGAGGAGGAGGAGGAGGAGGAGGAGGAGGAGGAGCGGGAGAGAACGCGGAGGAGGAGAAGAAGGAGAAGCGAGCGTCCCTAGAGGGAGGAGGAGGAGACGCTGGGGAGGGGGGGGGGGCGGAGGAAGAGGAGGACCCCCACCTCTTCGCGTCGGGCAGCGGAACGAACACAACAACCGGAAAGGCGGCAGCTTGGGGGCAGCTCTCGGCCCCCAGGGAGCCTTGCGGGGCCCCTGGGCCGTGGAAGAGCTTGTCAGCACAAAAGGCGGGGTCCCGGGGAAAGAGTCCAGGCCTCCCGAGTTCCACGCTGCGGAGAAAGATAGAGAGAGAGAGAGAGAGAAAAAAAAAAAAAAACATACACACACACACACACACACACACTAACAAAAAAAACGAGACGTACCCAACCCCTTCTCCACGCGAGGCGAATAAAAGCCCCATGCAAAAGCACGCATCGCCAGATGTGCATGTTTTGCGCTGCCCTCAGCTCCGCCGTGCCCCCCGGGTGCCTACGAAAGTGGCGACAATTTCGCACTCCGCAGCCCCCCAGAGAACCGCGAGGTCTCGGCTGGGTCTGCATGGCCCCCCACTCCGCCGTGCCTCCCAGGAGCCCACGAAAGTGGCGACAGGATCGCACTTCGCAGCCCCCGAGGGAGCCGCGAGGTCTCAAACGGATCTGCGCGGCCTTCACATCCGCCGGGCCTCCCAGGAGCCCACGAAAGCGACGACAGACTCGCACTGCGCAGCCCCCGAGGGAGCCGCAACGTCTCGGCTCGGTCTGCGTGGCCTCCCAGTCCGCCGGGCCCCCCAGGAGCCCACGAAACCGGCGACTGATTCGCAGCACGCAGCCCCCGAGGGAGCGCACAAGAGGCAGGAGGCAGGAAAAGAGGAGGGGGAGGAGGAGTAGGAGGGAGATGCGAGAGCAGCGCTGCTCTGTTCAAACGCCGCAACGCAGTTCCAAATGGGGCCACGGCACGTGGGAGGAGCGTGCTGCAGCAGGCAAGGCGGCGCTGGGCAGGTAATGGGGCCTTGGGTGTAGCCCCCCATGGGGCCACTAAGCTTGTGAGGGGTGCGGCAACATGGGCGGGGTGGCGCCGAGCGGACCCTGGCACGGTTGCCCTTGGCGGACCCCCCTTTGGGGCCACGACGCGCGTGAGGGGTGCGCCGGCACGGGCGGGGTGGCGCCATGCGGACGCTGCCCCTGGGGCCTTCGGAGGAGCCTCCCATGGGGCCACGGAACGTGTGATGGGCGTGGCGGAATATGACTCATGATGCTGACGCTGATGATGGTGGTGGTAACGCTGATGAGGATGATGAAGGAGGTATAGAGGAGGACGGAAGCGGAAGGAGGAGTGAGTGACGCGGGGCGCTGCTGATTCACAACGACAACTCAAGACCACAGGGTGGTTGGAAATCATGGCGCCAGTCCTCTGGGGATGACAACGACAAGGTACGGGACAAAAGGGGACCGATACCGCTATTTCACGGACCTCTCATAGAGGCGAATTACGACCAGATTCTCGAGGAGACTGCAGCCGTGGCGACAACGAGCTCTCCAAGACGAGCAGCAGTATTGGCCCTTTTCCTGAGCTGGAAGGAAGATGAGGAGAGCCGAGCGGGGGAAAGAGGGGCGAGGAGAGGAATCACGAAAGGAGAGAGGCACCAGCTGGAGGCCACAGGGTGCAGTCCACGGCTGCGCCAGGCACCGCGGCCGTGCCGTCGCCGCTTGCGCCCAGAGCGATCTTCGCCGCAGAAGCTTGAAAAAATCGGAGCCCCTGGGAGAGCCTTCTTGAGGAAGTTACTTAATTACAGGGGGTCTTGATGAACCTCCTGGAGCGAAGTGATTGACGAGCCGACGCATAAACAGCTCAAGCATTCCAGCTTTACCTTAGCATGAGCGCCATCATACATCATACTGCAGCAACGTCCTGCACTTCCACGAATGAAAAAGCAAGCCTCCAGAGGACTACGCATCTCGCAGAATCGGCACATGAGAAACTACAAAAAGCTGCGCAAAGCGACTAGAAATACTTCTGCTGCTCCTGGTCAGGCCCACTAGCCGACTCGATTGCAGCAGCGAATTCCTGCTTGGCGTCGCCGATGCTGTCCAGCGTCGCGCAGCCCCACTTGACCTCCGTCGCCTGCCGGCCCTCGCGCGGCTCGATCTTGAGCCGCGGGTCCCAGGCAACCGACAGCCAGCCACGCACCCTGTCGAGGAGCAGTCTGCGGGCGTCGCCCATACTCGCGGCGAGCAGCTGCTTGACCTTGCCGCCTGCGATCTCCAGCTTGATGGCCCTGGGGTTCGTCCCCGATGATGCGGAAGCGGGTTTGTCTTAGGTCGGGCGCGTCCCCCTGCAGGCAGATTCTGGACACAAAATTATCCCGGCAAAGCAACCTAACAGCGATGTGTAGACGCATATCTGAAAGCATTCCCCTTAAGATTCAGATGAAAATCCAGTTGTATAATTCTGCTGTTCTCGCAGTCGTAGTCGCATTCGCGATGACAGTCGCAGCGGCAACGGCAGTCGCAGTCACAGCCTCAGCCTCAGCCTGCCTCAGCCTCAGCCTCAGCCTGCCTCAGCCTCAGCCTGCCTCAGCCTCAGCCTCAGCCTGCTTCAGCCTCAGCCTCAGTCTGCCTTCAGCCTCGGCCTCAGCCTCAGCCTGCCTCAGCCTCAGCCTGCATCAGCCTCAGCCTCAGCCTCAGCCTGCCTCAGCATCAGCCTGCTTCAGCCTCAGCCTCAGCCTGCCTCAGCCTCAGCCTCAGTCTGCTTCAGCCTCAGCCTCAGTCTGCCTTCAGCCTCGGCCTCAGCCTCAGCCTGCCTCAGCCTCAGCCTGCCTCGGCCGCAGCATCAGCCTGCCTCAGCATTCAAAATGTGGCCCAGGAATGGAGTTTTGGGAACTAGAAGAACACGAAGTTGCCTACAGTTGGCTCCGGGCATTCAAAATCATCCCCAGGAATGGGAGTTCTGGGAAGTCGAAGAGCACCAAGTTGCTTACAGTTGGCTACGGGCATTCAAAATTTTGCCTGGGAATGCAGTTCTGGGGACTCGAAGACCACGAAGTGGCCTACAGTTGGCTCCGGGCATTCAAAATATGGCCCGGGAATGGAGGTTTGGGAACTCGAAGAGCACGAAATGGCCTACAGTTGGCTCCGGGCATTCAAAATGTGGCCCGGGAATGGAGTTCTGGGGACTCGAAGACCACGAAGTGGCCTACAGTTGGCTCCGGGCATTCAAAATGTGGCCCGGGAATGGAGTTCTGGGAAGTCGAAGAGCACGAAGTGGCCTACAGTTGGCTCCGGGCATTCAGAATGTGGCCCGGGAATGGAGTTCTGGGAGGTCGAAGAGCACGAAGTGTGTGACTGTTGGCTTAAAACGACTTCTGCGGCACCCTGTCCGGCACCCGCCCAGACCCCCCTGTGGAGTCATCTGCTGCTCTCTTTTGAGACTACTAGAAACCTATCAGTCTTCGCTGTTAGGTAAAATTCAAAAATGGTCCGAAGTACTGACTAAATAGCCCCCATATCATGTTTTGACTCTTTTTGCATACCTATACGACCACCCTGCGGGTGATAAGGAGGTTGGGGGGGGGGAGGGGCCAGCAATGGGCAACAGTGGTGATTGTTGCGTTGCCGCTCGCTCTTGGGAGCCTTGGTGTCGAGTTGTTTCAATCATCCTTCGCTCTCGGGCGCCTTGGTATCATTCCCCCCCCCCCGGGAACCAACGAAATAATAATTCAGTTCGTTCATTTTGCAAGGGTTTGGGGGGCCGTTTGGGCTCATCTTTTGGACCTCTTGGGGTCTTGGAGACCTCTTGGGGGCCTCTTGGGGGCCTCTTGGGAGCTTTTCGGGGATGGCGCACGCTTGCTGCTTTTCCGGCACCGCGCGGTCGAGCATCGGAACGTAAAGGCGGCGGGACCGGGCCGGCGGCGGATGCCTCACAGCGTCGCACAGGCGACGGACGCGGGACACCGGGACACCGGCGGGACACCCTTCTCAGATGGGACGGGCCCGAACACGAACAGGGCCCCAGAGACGATAATGAAGAAACGGGAGCCTTCACTGCGGCCTCCAAGGGCCTCGGCGCGGCGCGACATTGCACCACGTAGTCGATCTCTCTATCGATCTCACAAGCGATGTCGTTATCGGTCTCACGACCGATCTCACCATCGATCTCACTATTGATATCTCCATCGATATCACAAGAGATGTCGTTATCGGTCTCACGATTGATGGGACCATCGATCCAACTATCGATCTCACTCGATCGATCTCACTATCGTTCGCACTCGATCGATTGCACTGTCGATATCACTCTGGATCTCGCTATCGATCCCACTAACGATCTCCCTATCGATATCACTCGATCTCACAATCGATATCACTATTCATCTCACTATCGATCTCACTACCGATCTCACGATCGATCTCACTATCGGTCACACTATCGATCTCACTACCGCTCTCACAATCGATGTCGTCATCGGTCTCACTATCGTTTTCGCACCAGCAGGACACTGGGACACCGGCGGGACACCGGCGGGACACCGCGGGCCACCGCTTGCCGGAGGGAGAATCATTTGGTCCAGCCGGGGCCCAGCCACAAGCGGGACACCGGCGGGACACCGCGGGCCACCGCTTGCCAGAGGGAGAATCATTTCGTCCGGCCGCGCCTCAGCCACAGGAGCCTTCCCTCTCGCCCGCCCACGCAGCTTCGCCTCGCCCGCACGCACGGAACGCACGAACACGGAACCGAAACCGATTTCCCGGAGGGGGGCTTTCCGTTCCACTTCGACCTCACCCCCCAACCTCCGATTCCTCCTGTAGGGACATGCCCGACTCAAGGTCGGCGGTGGACAAACCTCCTTTAGTAAACCTCCCTTTAGGGAAAACGACCTAGGACCGAAACCGACGGACCTAGACCCGCAAAAATAACGGCCGCGACGCCCTCTCGCGAACCGAAAACGGCCAATTCCTTAATCGACGTGCCAGGGTAGGAGGTGTCTATCCACCCCCGATGCGGTCTCACTGCGCGCCCCTGGCGTCGAACCGCGCGCTCGTGCCGCGCAAGCAAAAGCATGGCCTGCGCCCCGGCCACGCGCCGAGCAGCCAAGCGTTCTCCGCCTGCCGCGCGGACCGCCGTAGGAGTCAAAAAAAAGTCCACCCCCAGGGGAACCACCTCGACACGCGAAGTCGTTTCGCAAGCGCGCCCAAAGAAGGAATCAAACTTTCTCCGCCTGCCACGCGGACTGTGATAGGAGTCAAAAGATCCACCCCCAGGGGAGCCACCCCGACGCGCGAAGTTGTTTCGCAAGCGCGTCCAAAGAAGGAATCAAGCAGGGCATAGGGCTGTTTAGTAAACGCCCGGGGCCGTTCCGTAAACGCCAATGGTCCGGTGCAGGTGGTTCTTCCTCCCTTGAATGAAGCAGCGAGAGAGCACGTCTCTGGATTCAACCTGCCGCCTACTTTTGTCAAAACAAGCGTCCTCCCGCCACGGAGAAATATACGTGATGGCCGTTGCTTTCCGCACCAACTTCCCAGCGTGAACTTCGATGATGGTCCCGTCCACGTCCCTCTCGAACTGGGTTGAGAACGACACGGGCTTGAGCGGCTTGGAGTCCACCATGGCCAAGGCCTTTGAGAGCTTGTCGGCCGTGCTCTGCAGGGTCGCCAGATCCATCGCCTGTGACTCCACCTTGGCGTCGAGGTTGCCCAAGTTGTTCTTCAGGGTGTTGCACTTCTGCGTGAGCTCGCGGCGCAGCTCGTCGAGGCGCGGCGTAAAAACCATAATGTATGCGTCCAGCGACTTCGGCAGCTCGACCAAGTCGGACGTAGACTGCTGGAGACACTTTGTCGAAGATCGAGGTGAACGAGTCGGTGATTGACTTGGTCTTCTTCCCCACTGCCTCCGAGACGGATGATGCCACGGTCTAGTCAGCCAGTTCTGTGACGTCATTGACTTTCTCGGTGATGATGATGCTGGCGCAAATGGAGTAGATGTGATCCTGGGAGAAGGTCTCGTCGAAGTCACTGACGTCGTCCACTGGCATGGGTGTGCCACGAGATGCGGTGGGCGCAGCCAAGCCACCGTCAGCAGCAGCAGCAGCAGCAGCAGCAGCAGCAGCAGATGTAGCACGGCGCCTCCAAACGTCGGTGCGTCCAGGCTTGCCAGCGATGGATCAGCAGGAGGAGGAGGATGAGGCAGAGGACCGGCGCCTGAAAATGCCCGCAGTCGTGGCAGCGCGATGTTGGTCAGGAGGAGGAGAAGAGGAGGAGGAGGAGGAGGAGGAGGAGGAGGAGGAGGGCGACGACGACGACGACGACCCGTGACGAGCCCCTCTGGGACGGGGGAGGGGCGGGGGGGGGGACGGGCGAGCTCGGCACGAGCTGCTCGACCCGCCCCCCCGCAGGCGGCGCTCAGCGGGCCGCGCGGCTCCTCCGCGGAGGTCAGAAGCCAGAGCCGCCCTCGCAAATCGGCGCCTCCACAGCGCGCAGACGGTGCTCGGCGGGCCGCGCGGATCGTCCCTGGAGGTCAGAAGCCAGAACCGCCCGCATGATGAGCGCCCCGCTGAGCGACACGAGGAAGAAATCCGACAGGGCAGGGCGTTTGGTAGAAGCGGCAATCATGGGGGTCGGGCTGGTTTTCCGCCCCTCGAACCAAGCTCGGCGAGGGGCTAGCCAGGACGGAGGGTGAGCTGTCGAATCTGCAGGCAGGTTCAGCCAGGGTCGGACCGGAAAATCGGATCGGGCACGGAATGTGCATCGGACCGGGCCGCATCGTCACGGAGTCGGGATCAGGATCGGATCAGATCGGTCGCGACAGGATGCATAACGACGCCATGCGAACATCGGGCCGCACCGGATCGTCAGAACAATGGAACCGAAACGGAGAGGATCGACATGTACCATATGTGCAGGAGGGGCTGTGCCCCCTCTGGGGCGACGCAGAGCTCGCAGACCGCGTCTGCGCGTCGGTCCCCGCCTTCGCCTGCAAGCCGTGAGGCTGCCCAGGGCGCAGAGGCGTCGCCCTGCACGCTGGCGTGAAGGGCGCCTCAGCAGCGGGCGCCTCCGTGAGGGAGCTGCACAAACTGGATCGGGTCATTTACTGACCCGGGTCAATCCAAGATCCTGCAGATCCCGCGAGATTCCGCACGCAAGCCCGGGCCAATGAACCCCTGGCTCTGCAGGATCCTGCAAGATCCGGCGCTCTGACTGACCCGCATCTCTTGAGCCCCGACTGGAGAGGGGACCTCGGATGCCAGTGCGGGTTGGTGCCGAGGGTTGCGGGCCCGTGGGGCTTGGCCTGGACACTCTGCGGCGTGCTCTTCTCCAAGAACTGTGCTCACCACGCTTCCACAAATTTGCCGAGCATCCCTCGCTACACGAAGCGGACCTGCCTGGTGTCACAGGCCTGACTTCTCTGCACGGTGCCCCTTGCGAAGGTGACCCGGCCGCGGAGGCCACCTCGAGCCACGACGCCCCCGAACTCGCGCCGAGGGGGGCTCCTCGAGGCTCCGTGCCCCACGCCTTTGAGGATGCACCGCGCAGCACGGAGGCCATGTCTGGCAGAATGGTGATGCCGCCAGAGGTCGCCGAGTAGGGCGCACGCGCCTGAGGCAAGTCCGAGTTGGATGCGGGCGAGGAGGTGGAGGACATCGAGAACCCCTTCGAGAGCGGGCATCCACGTCATCGGCCCCACGAGGCAGGTGACTCAAGGCCGTCGCTGGCTGGGAGTCTCAGCAGCGGGACCTGCAGGCCCCGCGCACGGGCCGGGTCGTCAGGTCGACAGCCTTCCAGGGGACGCGGGCGGCACCGCCGCGGAGGCCATGGAGAGTCGCGGCAATGCTCGCAGGTGCAGATCGGGCGCCAGTGTCAAGCAGCCTGGCGCAGGCGACGACTTTTGCCGAAGCAGTCAGCCCAAAGCAGACGCCGAGTGTTTTGCATAGCGCCGTGACTGGGTCGCGGGGGCGGACCATGGACGGGTCGCGAGGCTCGAAAGCCAAAGTGAAGAAGCCCGCCGCGGGCGCCCACTTTTAGTGTCGCGGGTGGGTCGCGGTTGTTTGTCACGGTGTTGGGTCGCGGTTGTGGATCGCGGGCGGCGTGCGGGGCGGCGCGCGGGGCGCACGGGGCGGAGCGGGGCGCGGGGCGAGGACGACGACAGCGAGACAGCGACGACGCTCCGCACCGCAAAACCCGACTGTGGCCGCGCACCCTCAGGGCCCCGTAGACCCGGACACGCTAGACCCGGACACCCAACATCCCTCGAAACCAAATGCTCCAAGCGACCCGGTTGGCCCTGCCACTCTGACCCAGACATCCAACGATCTGCTGCTTCCAACGCGCGGCCCCAGAGGCCCCGACCGCTTCCCCACGGGCGTGTCTTCGTCCTGGCTCCACCTTTGCATCCCCGGGGCCCGGCAAGGGGCCCCAGAGGTCGAGGGCGATCAAAATCCCACAACCCTGCTCCCGGGGCCTCTCCCGGGGTGCGCTCTGACCAGGGTTTCGAGGCGAATCCAGCCGTGGCGATGAGGGCCTCCCGGGAGGACCCAAATTTGGCCAGAACGAGGGAAGGGTGACGGTATCGGCACCTTTTCCTCCTCCGACCCTCGGCACCTTTTCCTCCGACCCTCCGGCCCTGGCCCTGCCCGAGCCAAGGCAGGCGGTGCAGGCGGAGCTCCGCCGGAGCAGGCGGTGCTCCAGATGGGCGACGGCCTCCTCCTCCTCCTCCTCCTCCTCCTCCTCCTCCTCCTCCTCCTCCTCCTCCTCGTCCTCCTCCTCCTCCTCGTCCTCTTCCTCTTCCTCCTCGTCCTCCTCCTCCTCCTCCTCCTTCCTCCTTCCTCCTCCTCCTCCTCCTCCTTCCTCCTCCTCGTGCAGGGCGGCGGCGCCAGGCGGGGGGGCGGCCTGGAAGTCGTCCCGGCAGACGCCCCGAGGCGACGACAGGGGCGAGCCGCACTCCAGCTGCTCGGCATCGGGCGGGATCCTCTCAGACCTCCTTCGCACTCCACATTCTCCCCTCACCACCACCACCATCACCATCACCATCAGCATCATCATCATCATCATCATCATCATCATCATCATCATCATCATCATCATCATCATCATCATCATCATCATCAGCAGCAGCAGCATCATCATCATCATCATCATCATCATCATCATCATCATCATCATCATCATCATCATCATCATCATCATCATCATCATCATCATCACATCATCATCATCTTCATCATCATCATCATCATCATCATCATCATCATCGTCATCAGCATCATCATCATCATCAGCATCATCAGCATCATCATCATCATCATCATCAGCAGCAGCATCATCATCAGCATCATCATCAGCATCAGCATCATCATCATCAGCAGCAGCATCATCATCATCAAAATCATCATCATCATCATCAGCAGCAGCATCATCATCATCATCAGCATCATCATCAACATCATCAGCATGATCATCATCATCATTTGCATCATCATCATCATCATCAGCAGCATCATCAGCAGCAGCAGCAACAGCATCAGCATCAGCATCGGCATCAGCATCGGCAGCATCATCACCACCACCACCACCACCACCACCATCATCATCATCATCATCATCATCATCATCATCATCATCATCATCCGCATGGTCATCATCATCATCATCATCATCATCCTCATCATCACCATCAGTTGCATGATCATCATCGTCATCATCAGCATCATCATCAGCAGCACGACCAGTAGCATCAGCACCAGATCATCAGCAGCATCAACGGCATCAGCAGCATCATCATCATCATCATCATCACCATCAGCATCAGCATCATCAACGTCATACTCATCATCAGCAGCATCATCAGCATCGTCGTCAGCATCCTAGTAATAATCATCATCAACATAATCATCGGCATCATCATCGGCATCGTCATCATCAGCATCTCATCATCAGCATCATCATCATCGTCATCATAGGCATCATCATCATCAGCAGCAGCACAGTCTTGATCACCAAATGTAGCACCACCACCAACACCACCACCATCGTCATCATCACCACCACCATCGCCATGATCACCAATATCATATTCACCAGCAGCAAAGAAACGCCCGAAAATGCTCTACGGGGACCGATTGGTGGCTTGCTTACTCGTGTGAACGGCGCCCATTATTTGACAAAATAACGTAACACCCCACAGATGCTGATAAGAGTGAGGGGGCGGTGGGGACGTCGGCAGCTTGCGAGACTCTGAAGGAACCCGCCACAGGCGCCAAAGTTTCACAAATTATCCAACGAGCCCGCCGCAAGCGCCGATGTTTTCGTTAAACCGATGCGGGTAGGTCGCGGGTGGGTCGCTGCTGGGTCGCGGGTGGGTCGCGGGTGGGTCGCGGGTGGGTAGCTGCTGGGTCGCGGGTGGGTCGCGGGTGGGTCGCGGGTGGGTCGCGGGTGGGTCGCGGGGTGCGTCGCGGGTGGGTCGCAAGTGGGTCGCGGGTGGGTCACGGGTGGGTCGCGGATGTGTCGCGGGGTGGGTCGCGGGTGGGTCGCGGGTGGGTCGCGGGGTGGGTCGCGGGTGGGTCGCGGGTGGGTCGCGGGGTGGGTCGCGGGTGGGTCGGGGGGTGGGTCGCGGGTGGGACGACGGACAACAAACAAACAACAACGACGCAACAAGCAGAATCCTCACCACGGATCCCCACTTCAGCCACGCACCCAGGGACAATGAATGACCGTTCGGCCCCTCACTCTGATATGTCGAAAACAAGTTCTGAAACGTAAGTAACTAGAAACAACTACACAGTATGCTGTGGATTCCTCCTCGATGGCAGGTGGAGCTCGGGGTTGAAGCCCAGAGGCGGAGTGCCTGGGCTGAGGGCACCAGCATGAGGCCTCCGCGAAGGCGCCACGGGCTCTGCGGCGGCAGCCAGGGGCATCCTCCCAGGACAGCCCGCAGGGCCCGCCCAAGGCAGTGCGGCACAGGGCGAGACTCGTTTTCCCACGCAACGCAGCTCGTCGAAGCAGCTGTCGATCAAGCGTGCTTCACAAGTTTGGAGCTGCACCCTCCTTGCGCGAAAAATTGACAGCCCTGCAGGACCGGCAGGACAGGGAGGAGGAGGAATAGGAAGAAGAAACAGAGGAGGAGGGGGAGGCGGACGAGGCGGAAGTGGAGGAGGCAGAGGAGGCCGAGAGAGAGAGAGGTGGCGACCAAAATGGTTGCCGCCTTGAGGCCTGAGCATGGGAAGAGGAAGGCACGAGGTCACCCTGGACGTGGGGCGCGGGCGGGCGGAGAAGATTGGACGTGGGGGGAGGAGGAGGAGGAGGAGGAGGAGGAGGAGGAGGAGGAGGAGGAGGAGGAGGAAAAGGGAGAAGGAGGAGGACAAGGAAAAAGGATGACGAGGAGGCTCCCGAGGGCCCTGCGCGGCGCCACGGCCGACGGCGCAACGACCACGATGCCCACGAGGGCAGGCCTCACGCTCGGGCAATAAGGTGGACAGTGGGCTGGCCAGCGAATTCACAGCCTGTAGCTGGGCATCGCGCCCGCGGAAAGGGGGACTGGTGCCGCAGTCCAGGCACACCTGGTGCGAGCTCCAGACGGAGGGCAGGAGGATGGGAAATGGTTATGGACGGAGGTGAACCTGGAATCTCTGAGAGCGGGCGGGTCTGGGGGCTGCACTGGGCGACGCGGCCGTTCCAGAGCGCTCCAGGACGCTCTGGGAGCGCTTAAGAGAGCGCCATGGAACGGCTCCTCTTCACCTTCGGCCTGCCCCCGGCGGCTGCCACCTCGACCGCCTCAGCCGGCGAGGGAGGCGACGCAGGCGCCGAAGTCGTCCTCGCGCAGATGCCGGGTGGCACAAGCAGACCTGAGCCGGAAGGCCTGTGTCCACGTGGTGTCGTCGCGCAGCCACAGAGCGCTCAGATAGTGCGTCCAGACACTCTCGCTGACCTCCAGTCGTCCGGCCACCTGGTGCTGCCACTCGGCTGCCTCCAACGAGGTCAGGTTAAACCGCTCTCGTGCTGTGTAGAACGGTGCAAACTTCAGCTCATGCTGCGGTCCTGTCTCCAACAGCTGGGCCGCATACACTGTGAAATCCACCAGCTCAGCATCGTGATACGTCCAGATTCGAAAACTGGGGCTATTGGCAAAAATGGGCGATACGGCGCCAGACACGAAAATGGGATGCCTGGCGCCCGGCATCAGCCGGAACGTGTCACAGTGCATGTGCGCAAACAGCTGGCCCGAGATGGCGTCCGCGTGCCTCGCGATGAGATCGGTATACTTCGCGACGTACGAATCATGCCACAGGCCCGTGAAGTGGTAGCTGTCCACGGTCGGGGGTATGTGCCCCACGATCAGGGCCCTCGAGCTGGGCTGGCCCCTCGTGCTGCGCCCCTCGAGCACCACTAGCAGGCGGTCCAGCCAGTCCAGCTGCCCAAGCGGGTCCGCTGGCGGACCCGTCCCTGGCCACACGTGTCTGCTCGAGTAGATCACTGTGTTTAGAGAGACGAGAACCAGCCACGGCGTCAGCTGCTCCGCGAAGAACCCTCCGTGGGAGAAGGACCGCCTCGCGTCAAAGAGCCAGTCGTCGTGGCCTCCAGCGACGCTGGGCCATGTCAGCCCGCGCTGGGCGAACTGAGCGTGGAAGAGTTCCCCCAACCAAAAGAAGAATGGATTCTCTGCGCCTTCGAGCCCAGCCCCTTCACGCGACAGGTCCTCGTCGCCGTTGTCGTAGTCCAATCCGAAATCGTTATTGCCCAAGACGAAGGACTCTGGGCTGAAGCCGTAATGCACCTTGGCCTCAGGAAAGTATGCCTGTATGATGCCCGTGGCCTGCCGCAAAACCTCGCAGACGAGCGCGGTCTTGTTCGCTCGGGCCAGCCTCTTGACGTGGTGCCGCACGTAGTCGCCCGTCATCAGCACCCAGTCGTACCCGCCAGCAGGCGCCGTCGCGGCCGCCGCCCGCAGCGCCGCGTGCAGAGTCGCAGCGGGGGTGTCGCAGCCACGCTGGCCGTACGGGTTGCCCGTCCCCGACCGTGGGCACGCCGACGCGCTACACCCCCCCGCCGCCGAGGCCGCACACCAGGCCGCCTGGGCCTCGAAGGAGTTGCACATGCATCCCCTGCCGACGGTGGCGTCGTACCACGGGTCCAGGTGCACGTCCGAGAGCTGCAGGAACCTCCCCGACAGGGCGCGGCCGGCGGAGCCCGGCGGGCCCGGCGCGGCGCCGAGGCGCGACGGGCTCGGCGGCGGCCCTGCCGACGCCCACGCCGTCGTGCCCAGCGCTGCCGCGGCCATGGCGGCCACCGCCGCGGCCCCGCACCTGGCCCGCCCGTGCACGGGGCCGGCCCAGGGCGGCCCTCCGCGGCAGCCGCCACCCTCGGAGGCCAGCCAGGCGTAGGGGGCCTCCGCGCCCAGGGCGGTGTCTCCAGCGTCCGCCATGGAGTCCCTTGCGCAAAGGCCAGGCTCGAGCCGAATGTTGGCCTGAGCCAAGAGCGCCTCGGACACGGAAGGGTCGGCTGAGGAAAGGGCCAATCATGGGGGGCGAGGGCACGGGAGGTTGCAGGGCTGGGGGCAGGGGCGGGAACGGGGGCAGGAAGCGGGGCGGTGGCAGGGCTTGGGGGCATGGGCAGCAGCAGGGAAGCAGCGAAGCAGGGGCCGGGGCAGAAAGCAGAGGGGACGGGAGGGGTGAATGGGCACGCATTCGGGCCCGTATGAACGCCGCAGGGCGCTCAGGGACCCGCAGTCTTACAAGGCTTCCATGGGTGGGCGCCCGCAGTGGGAGGGCAGCCTTTAGACATCGGCAGAGAGATTTACAAAAGGGCAGGCCTAGACACCTGATCCGTCATACGACAACACCTACAAACCGGGCCAAAGGAGGAACCAACGACGGGACAACCATCGGGACAGCCGTCTCCATACAAACACTTCGATCGCTCTCACTATCTTTCAGCCTCACTGCCCAATTAGCGAA